ATTTTTGAAGTACCTGAATTATCCGTAGTAGTGGCCTTAAAACCCGAGATTATGGGTATAGAAGCTATTCTTGTGGGTATCGGCAAGTCTTGGTTGGGGTCCACCTTGGGATCCGGGATTCAGGGGTTGGGGTTTAGGTTATAGTCCCCCTTAAGTAGATAGAATATGGGATATATGAGGATCTTATTATAGTATACCCAAAGCCATAGTCTATCTACTTAAAGGGGACTATAGGTGGAACCCCCACCCAGTAATAGTGACTATATGAGAGAATTGCAATTAATTATATCAGGCTCTTCTTCGATTCCATTCGATTCCTATTATACCGTCTCTACATACAGGGGTGGCAACCCTAAACCCTAAACCCTAAACCCTAAACCATGCCCTACGGTTTAGGGTTCACAGTGTAGGGTTCAGGTTTGGGGTCGAGGCATGTAGGGTTTATTATACTTCAACGCTTCGGGTTCAAGGATTTAGCGTTTTGGCCTAGGATCCTGGGATCTAGCTTCCAGAATCACGGAATTGTGATTCAAAGTTCAGGTTCTTGGAGCTTACGCAAACATTCTAGTGTTTCGTGTAGGGCATATCAAAAAATGCAGGCCGCGGGAAAATAGAGGGTTTAGGAGCTAAGTGCTATGGATTCCTCATCAGAGTCTTCGTACGGATGATCGAACGTTACTTCCATGAGAGCTATAATTATTTAAGCTATATCGCGCCCGCCTCGGCTGGCGGGGCGCGGAGCACACGAGTAGTGCGGTGTAGGGTCGAGGGACGAGGGAGTAACGGAGGCAAGCAACACTTCAGACGCGTTTGTTGCATGCCTGTTCCAGCATTCATGGAGGGGGTTGGCTGGGCTTAGTCCGTCAGCCTTTAGTGAGGGAGAGTAGAACAAAGCAACTACCATTTATTTGAGTGTGGGAGGGGAAGGTGGGAGGGGGGGAGGGGGGGAGGGGGGGAGGCTGGATAGCCTCGGCGAATCTACCCTCATTGAAGGGGATTCTCTATTCAGGGAGATACTAGGAGTTAAGACCATGGCTCGTGTGTGGGCGCCAGTCCCTGTCGTGGTGGCCGCAAGTAATCCGTTCCATGAATCTGATAACGCCCTAAGCATTTTCCGCAGTCAACATGGAAGCTGAAAGGAGGACTGAACAAAGGGCCCATTCTCAGTTTTTGAGCCAGTTTAGGTTAGGATGAGCCCCACTCGGTCTCGAAAGTACGTTCCCTACAGCACGTGCGTTTCTCTCCTGGTAGCAGTACCTAGTAACGGACAGGTGCCCATGTTGCCACACCGCGCTACCCGATATTGGTATCTGTATCTGTATATGTACACCCAAATTTGAGAAGCGTTAAAAAAAGGACATAAAAGGGAAGCCATGTTCATGAGTGTCAGGAGGGTGTAACGGAGGGGTCTTAGGGGCTAAGTTGGCCAAGCAAGGATTACGTAAAGCATCAACAAGACCAGAATACGGGTCTCATCCCCTCACACCCCCACCCTCCGCCCCCCCAGCTCTCCATTTGCGCTTTCAGGAGCCTAATATTGCGCAGTTCTTGGGCAACGGCACCAGCCAGAAGTTGGTGAAGGCAGCGGGTGTCTCAAGGCTTTAGGGCGGATTTAGGGTTTTAGGTTTAGGCACTAGGGTTTAGGGTGCAGGGTTTAGGGTTTGGGGATCAGGGTTTAGGGTTTGTCGTTTGCTAGCGCAGGGCACCAGGCTGGAGCTGATTCCAGCAGACCAAGTTTGCTCCAAAAGCCTAAAAGCGTAAAAGTTGGGCTCCTGAGGAGATCAGATCCAGAAAATTTGGAGTTCGGTTTCAAAAGCACCGACAGACCTGAAAATGGGCGCTGAAAGCCCAGGTGCCCTCAAAAGCCACAACTTTTCAAGATTGTTCAGCATTTTCGCGCGCGCGCGCCCAAATCAGACCCAAAAGCCCAAGATGGGATCCAAAGAGGCCAACATTGGTTCCAATCGACTGCGACGAAAACGCTCAAGACATAGCCTTGCACTAGAATCACTAGAAGCCCACAAGTGACCCCAAAAGGCCAAGAATGGCGCAGAATCGTCGCCCCAGAGGCCACAAGTGGCACCCGAAACCCAAAATCGGCGTCAACAGATATATTAGGGTTATATTGGGGATGTATTTAGGGTTATATTAGGGTTATACTAGGATTCTATTGGGGTCATATTGGGATAATGGACAATGAAATGGAAGCTACTATTTAGGGTACGCAACATTGGATACAACATCCAAAATTTGCTCCAAGGACATTTAAGTGAATTGAACAGACATTACAATTCACTGAAACCCTTCCAGCTGGCGAATCGTCAAATGCTGTGCTGTTGCACGAGGGTGCAGCCCCTCAAAAATCAGGGTTCGGGGTTTAGGGGAGGTTTAATTTCGAGGCTTAAGGCTCAATTTTTTGAGCTGGAAAAAGGAAGGCATGAAAAAAAATCCAGGTTTCTAGCCGGAAGCGTGGTAACACTGCATGCAGTATGACATGCAACAAGTTTATTGGGAAATGTTGCAATGGAACTAGCCAGTCCGTTTCTGTGAGATGCTCACAAGGAAAGTGCAATTCCCGATGAGAATCACAATATGCTCTTAGCAGGGAAAGGTTGACATTTCAGTGGTCTCATATGTGAGCTTCATGCACTTTGAGAGGATCGTGTAGGGAAGGAGTTTGCGGAAATGGGCTTCCTTTGGTCCATACTAGAATAGCCAGGATTCATGGAAGTCAGCTTTTCCTGCAAATCCTTGCGCACCAACGGAATCCATGCCCTCGGCTCATACCTATTCCCCTATTCTACAAACAATTCGGCTAGCCAGAATCATCATTGTTGATCCATTATAACCCTGTCATATAGCTTACCCAAAGACCCTATTCGAATCATCCAGATCCCACAACCTACAATCCCTACATGAATATGGTTTCAATTTCATGTTACATTTTCTTTTGTATGGCGAACAGGAGATGTGCATCTTCCTCCACCAGCTGGGAGAGTCCGACACAGATGGCTCCTGGCTCTTGGGCATTGATTGTTTTTTTTTTTGGGAGGGGG